GTGTGATCCTCTGACCCACTCTAAATGAAAATGTTCATGGATGGATCACCTCTCAAATTACATCAATCATATTAGGCTATATAAACCCATACATTTAGTGAAGCCTCATGTCCCACCCAATTTATCCTCTAACAAACCATGATAATATATATGCAATTAAAAAAAGAAAACACATTATTTTTACTTTCGTTGACATGTTTTCTATAGAAAATAAGACTATTCTTTTCAAATAATGAAGAAGATTATAAATAATTGCTTATAGATATTACTTAAATATTATATAACATAAAAGTAATAGGTTAAAAATTATATAAGCAATTAATACCGACGAAAACAATTTATGGAGAAATCGTGACAATTGATCTCCGGTTAATATTTCGCTCTTATAAATGTCTCATACTTAGCGTACGATACATATCCGTGTGAATGCGCGGGCTACCTTCCTAATTTTAATTAATAGTAAACTAAAATTAAATATTTAAATACCACTTTAGACAAAGTGCCTGCGCATGTGCGCGGGCTACTTGCCTAGTTCTACTAAAAAGACAATACAGCTGGGCCTCTGTTTTCTCTGCTCGTGTTAGAAAAAAAAATGACAATGCATGCAACACATGCTAAGAAACAATTGACAAAATTGACAGCTCAAACTTCATTTAGGCTGTGTTTAGTACCATGTCAAAATTGAAAGTTTGAAAAAAATTAGAACAATATGATGGAAAAGTTGGAAATTTGAAGAAAAAAGTTGAAATCTAAAGAAGGCCTTAATCTTCTTCGTGGTATGTAAATTATTAGTCCATGTGTGGTAGTAAAAACAAAACGTGTCGACTTGACTTTTTATGGAAACGTATCATTTGTTTAAGTTGTCAATCAATCTCGGTAAAAAAAAGGATAAAGATAGGAACGTTCCAAGGTCACTGCCTGCCATACTCCCGGCGACCTTAACCGTTGACTACAGACAAGCTAGAACGAGCAGAGTACTCCCTCCGTAAAAAAAAAAAAAAAAGACAAATCCTGGTTTCCGTGCCCAACATTTAACCGTCCGTCTTATTTAAAAAAATTATAAAAAAAATAAAAAAACAAGTCACGCATAAAATATTAATCATGTTTTATCATCTAACAACAATAAAAATACGAATTATAAAAAAATTTCATATAAGACGGACAGTCAAAGTTGGACACGCAAACTCAGGGTTTGCCTTTTTTTAGGACGGAGGGAGTACGTAAAAAGGGACCGAGATGTCACTATAAAAAAATAATTTTCGCCGATGACAAAAATAGGTTCTCGCTAGCGGCTAGAGGTGCGGCCAACGACCTAACGCTAATGAAAATAATGCATTTTACGCCAGTGAAAAACAAGTTCCGTAGGTGACAGGTTAAGACGCGGCAACCGCTAGCAAAAAAAAAATGATTTAATTTCTCTAGTGGCAAGCTAAAGAGAACCACTAGCTAAAACATTTTTTAGAGAAATAAATTTGAAAATAGGGAATTGATAAATAACAGAATGCCTGATCAATCGAGTATAGTACAATTTGATAAATAAATTCTAGGCTCCAAACCATGAAAGCGTCGACGGCGTCCTCGACGTGGCGTGGCTGGCCCCAGCCTTGGCCTGCTCGTCGAGCTGCGCTGGGGTCAGGTCGGTGAGGTCCCGTAGCGCGGCATGCATGGCCGTCAGCTCCGCCCTGACGAACCCCAGGATGACATCCTTGTTAGCCTCGCTGTCGCCACGTCCAGGCTGGCGGAAGGGAGGGCAAACGTCGGTGATGAGGGGGCTGGGTACATTGGTCACTAACTCCAGATCTAAGCTCCAGGGCCATCTTCAGGAATTTGAGGCCCTAGTGCGAAATATAAGTTGTGCGTCTAAAATTTCTAAATTATATGTCTAATATGTTGCTCCCTCTCTTTCATATTATAAGACACTTTGAACTCTATATTTTCGTTTAGATTCACTAATATTTATCTAAATTTAATTTAGACATATATATGAAACACACATCCATACATAAATCTATTAAAAACCCAAACTTATAATGTGAAATAGAGGAGGTATTTCTAGTATTTGTCCCTTACGCTTTTCAGCACCAAAATCATATTTCCTATCTCTATACCTAGTAGACATGTCTAGGGTCGATGAAATAAACATCTTTATGTTTTAACAAAATAAAAATAATTTGGATCAAACATTCAAAGTTCAAACAAGGTCCAGTCACAGTCAGGAAGATACGAAGTCGATGAGCATTCTTGCGTCGGCTGTCGCGGGAGTACACTACTCCAGTTGAAGGATTGATCGTGTTAGATAATGTGCAGGTTCGGATTAGGAGTATTCACGGTTCTGCTCACATGGGATAAGGATTCATTCTGTTGCTATTAGCGTGTAGGTTGTTATTCTGTTATCGCATGTGAGTTATCCCCTGTAATCCGGCTTGGTTTGTTCCTTCTTTCCTTAGCTCAAAGTATAGCTGGTTGGACTTAAGTAATGGTTTCCTTTCTCCTTCGGCTCCGGATGAAGGCCGTCGCGTTGATTCATATACTTGAGATCATTACGTGTTTCAAGTCTATCTTTCGATTTCCCGTATACACATAGGAATACAAGCAGGTTGATGCACAGGTTCTTAGTCAAGTGCATCACGTCGATTCCATGGCGGATCTCTAAGACTTTCTAATAGGGTAACTCTCCAAAAACAAACTTCTTCTTCCATATCGCAACGTGACCATTGTTGGTATTTCTTAATGACATTACTAAAAATACGAATTCCTAGCAATGGCACAGAATAGCACTGATATATTTATGGTTACAGAAGTAATCCGCAAGCGCATGAATATACTATTGTAGCATTTCACCCAGAAGTATTCCAATGTATCATATTTATTTGATCCCAAGGGAAGATTTATAAAAGAGAGAACTCTGCCAATATCTTATATATGTTATATATATCTATATATATATATATATATGTCAAAGTCTATGCAGGGGTTACTTTAATCATATGGGTGGAGTGACACAGAGCAGAAAGACTTAGATTCTCTCACTTAAATAATTCTAGACTAATGTGGAAGAAGAAATAGAAAAGTAATCATTCATATAATTCTAATACAGACTCAACTTTCGTTTACATCTGTTAGTATACAGTTGTACTGACCAATACCCCGTAACAGTGCCCTCCTGGTGCTTCGAGAGACCACCCTAGGTTGTCAAGTTTCTTATGACAATCTGTCATGGCCGTCCAACCGGGGTAAATACGGAGGAGTGCCGTCCCCAGGAAATTGTCTTAGAAATATATACTAACGTGTAGGAATACACGTACTGAACTGTTACCATCAATAGTCCACCTCTACTGTCTCGCAGCATATATGCCTAATTAATGATATTTAATAATCTACTGTCTCGCAGCATATATACATTATCAAATACTACTCTATGTCCTCTAGAATAACATAGAGCAATCATTTGCATGAACATTAAACCCAAACTATTGCACCTCTCTGGTGGGCTAGTCATTCAACTATATTGACACAAACATAAAGTAAAACCAGTACTCAGACAATGCAAAGTACCGTAGGTATACAAAGAAGAATATTCCATTAATTCCGAGGGTCTTACAAAAAAGGAAGGAAAAACTACTAGAGCCATACCGAAATCTTCCAAAGACTCGAGGACTCCGAGAACTATCCTATTCCATTCCACTTAGCACTAGAGCACTAACTAAACTTGAGAGAGAGATCAAAGCTTCTTGCTTGAGTGTGTGTTGGAGTGTGAATGAGCTCCTCCTTAAATAGGCAGGTATGACGGTTGTAGAGTATGCGAAATGTCGGAAATGGCCCGCAACGGCCATCAGCAAGCAATCCTGGACATCCACGTGTAAGGCCAGGCTGAACCGACATTGCCAGGGTTTGGCTGAACCCCTGGTTCAGCCGAACCTGAGCGGCCCAGCAGGCCTCCAAACTTTGTACAAGGGCTGACAGATGGGTACTCATGACGGTTGTGACAGTTATGGCGGTTTCTAGGATGGTTTCACCTGCATGTGGGCCTCTCTATCCTTGAGCTTGCTTAAGAGTGAGTTTTTCCTTTTTTTTCTTCTCCATTAATTTATGTGCTAATCTCTGCAAACAAATAATACTCCAAGTACAAGTGGAAAAATATTATTCTAAAATAAATATGCATTGCAAGCATAGCTACTTCTTCTTTATTTTAAGTATATTGATGGTCTAAATTAGTCTATAATGACCGTCAACAACCATCTTCACGTGCTATAGGTTAGCTGTCAGATCCTTTTTCCAAATACTACTTTTAGATCTTTTAGATCTCTCTTATTTTCTCTTTTTCCATAAACTTATTTAAGAGAGAAGACGTATAAAAATATAGCTAGAAATGTAATATGCTAACCATACATCAAAATATTTTCACAAAAAAATTTGGTAGCACATCCATTCCTCCTCCTTTCACTTTGTAGCAATCGCTTGAGCTGGAGGAGCAAGAATACCTATAAAAAGGATATGACCTTTAATACTAGTTGGTGTTGAACTTTAGTACACCAGCCAATACATAATTAATATCACGGGGGCCTAAAAATGATTTTTAGAACTGGCTAAAGATTTTAAAGTGCCGTTGGGTATTTTAACCAGTAATAAATATCATTTTTAGCACCGATTCGTTTTACATCCGAGATATTTACGATTTTGGCCGATCGAGCGAAGATCGGTTCTCCAATAGTGCTCATTGATTCCACTAATTAAGAACCGCTAACTACGTTGGGTTTAGAGCCCAGCATATATGATGAGAGGTTGACGGTTAATTTAGAACATTAGCCCCTAGTGTGAACATAGCCCTAGAGTTCCGTGGTGGGCATGCTAGCCACCATCGGTCACTGTCGTATATGCCGTAGAAGTGACGGCGTCTCGCCAATACTGTTATCACGCCACAACAATCGAATCTCTCAAAAAATCTCGGCAAACTCTCACACTAGAAATGCTGTGGCTTTGGCTCAGCATCGCTATTTATACTAGTGGCTACCAGCCTACTAGTACAGCACATCGATCCTACGGGCATGGAGGACAAGGTGTTGCTCGCTGTGGGCGCATCCCTTGTGTTGGTCTTCCTGTCCAAGCTGATATCATCATATGCCAAGAAGCCGAGACTGAACCTGCCGCCGGGGCCATGGACGCTGCCGCTGATCGGCAGCGCCCACCACCTCGTGTCCTGGAGCGAGAGCGTGCACAGCGTCATCGGGAAGCTGGCCCGGGAGCACGGCCCCGTCATGCAGCTCTGGTTAGGCGAGGTGCCCACGGTGGTCGCGTCGTCGCCGGAGGCGGCGCAGGAGATCCTCAGGGACCACGACCTCATCTTCGCCGACCGCCACTTGACCAGCACCACGGCGGCTATCACCTTCGGTGGCACGGACGTGGTGATGGCCCAGTACGGCGAGCGGTGGCGCCACCTCCGCAAGCTGCTCACGCAGGAGCTGCTGACCGTGGCGCGGGTGCGGTCATTCCGGCGCGTCCGCGAAGAGGAGGTGGCGCGGCTCGTGCGCGACCTGTCGGCCGCCGCAGCGTCCGGCGCCACCGTGAACCTTACCGACATGGTGAACAGGTTGGTCAACGACACCGTGCTCCGGTGCTCCGTCGGGAGCCGGTGCAAGTACCGTGAAGAGTTCCTGGCCGCGCTGCACGCCATACTACACCAGACGTCGGCGCTCAGCGTCGCCGACCTCTTCCCGTCCTCCAAGCTCGCGTCGATGGTCGCGACAGGGCCACGGAACGTTCTCGCGAACCGCAACAAAGTGGAGCGCATCATAGAGGAGATCATCCAAGAACGGAAGAACCAAATCGAAACGGACATGATGAGCGGCAACGACGACGTTGGCGATAAGGCGGCGGTGGAGAGCAAGTCATGCTCTCTCGACGTGTTGCTCAGGCTCCAGAAGGAAGGCGGCACGCCAATTCCAATTACAAACCAAGTTATCACCGTTCTTTTATGGGTGAGTAAGCTTCACATCACTGTTTTTTAATCATTTAGCATGTCGTCTTTGGTTTAGGAACAGGGTGTTATTTATAGGTTAGACTATCCATTTTTTTTAAGGGATGGACCTTTTTTTTTTTTTTTTGAGATGGATGGTATGATTCGCATATGAGTGACAAGAAAAAAAGTGGGTTGGATTAGTCCGTCAGGTTTTGAGGGATATGGTTGATCCAGATCTTAGTGACACATTCCCTTTTAGGAATGAATACAGTCTAACTGTTCCAAGCCAAACACCCTCAAAAAGAGTTTTGAGGTTTCGACTTGTCCAATCCACCCCATTCAACAAACCCAACACATGCTTAAGTTAAGTTTTAACTTAACTTAAATGAACCCAACACATCCTTCCATTTAAAACTTGCCCCATGAAATTGTGTTTTTAACAAGATATGGGAACAACAACCTGGTAAATTAATTGAGTAAACTTTCCCTTTAATATGTGCATACTCATTCAATCTATGTATTCATGGTAGATTAGGGGCAATGTTCAATCATGAGAAACAACATTAATAGGGGAATGAAAATTACGGTAAGTGCTACTTCCTCCGTTTCACAATGTAAGACTTTCTAGTATTGTCCACATTCATTTAGATGTTAATGAATCTAGACAATATATATATATATATATATTCATTAACATCTATATATAAGTGGACAATGCTTGAAAGTCTTACATTGTGAAACGGAGGGAGTAATATGTATGAAATTTGCTACTCTCTCCGTCCCACAATATAAGAGATTTTGAATTTTTGATTGCAACGTTTGACCACTCGTCTTATTCAATTTTTTTTGCAAATATAGAAAACGAAAAGTTGTGCTTAAAGTACGGTAGATAATAAAGTAAGTCACAAATAAACTAAATAATAATTTCAAAAAATTTTGAATAAGACGAGTGGTCAAACGTTACAAGCAAAAAACCTCAAAATACCTTATATTATGGGACGGAGGGAGTAGAAATTATGTTTAACATAGAACATCAATGTTATACTATATTCAGTTTAATGGTTATGGTAAATTGAAATATTTTAAAATTCCAAAAATATTTTAATTTTATTTCTTACACCTAATTAAAATATGTGGTTTTAAAATAACCATTTATTTCTCTTGCAAGTATTATATTTGTTTTGCACATTACTTGGATGCGTCATTGAAATGTAGAAAGAGTTGTTATGGGTCATTGACACAAGTGCAGAAAATATGTTTCTAGGTGGCTTATAACATGTTTTCACGGGTGTTTCTTGACCCACCTTGTGAGGGCTTGAACAAAGGAAGTACATTTGCAGGCTCATGAAAGAACCACACGTGAAAATGGATTTAGACAGACGTATATCTTATGTTCCCATCAGCAAAATACATTTACAAATGATGATTTCTTATATATGGTGGCCACCTGTGGATACAAGTTTTTGCAGGCGGTTCAGTTCAGAAAAACCGCCGGCACAAAAAAAAAATCTAGCTGCCATGTAGCACGGCGAGCCCATACAAACCATTGGGAGATCTCTTGTCAGAATATATTCACGTCAATCACATTACAAATTCTTAACCACATTCACATTAACTGAACATTATAGATTGTGCCAATTGTGTTGATCATATATATATATATATATATATATATATATATATATATATATATATATATATATATATATATATATATATATATATATATATTATCCATATCCACATTTGGATGCAAAATACATACTGAAAATGATAGTTTTAAGTCATACAAATCCAATCTATACATCTGGCTCGCATGAGATATATATATAGCATAAATTCTATCTACGCTGTCTTCTCTAAACATTTGCTCAATATGAATCAATGCATATAGCTAATTAAGCACTTTGTTTTGCATCAACATACCGATCCACTACACTTCTAAGGCTGGTTTCTTAGGTGAGGGTTGGGAACCCTCACATTTGACACAGAAAACGGAGCAATGGATGAATGCGTGATTAATTAATAATTAGCTTAAAAAAACTTCAAAAATGAATTAATATGATTTTTTAAAGCAATCTTTTTAAAAAACTTTTGCAAAACACACACCGTTTAGCAATTTGAAAAGCGTGCGCGTGGTAAACGAGAGAGTGAGGTTGGGAACATGGACATAAGAAAAGATTGTGAAAAGGCTCTGCTCCGAAAAAAATAGATGAAGCACTAATGCTTGTTGTCGCAGGCAATTTTTCCTATGGCTGATTTCTCTGTAATTTCCCTATACCTCCCATGCATCCAATATATACAACTAGAGAAGCAAGAGACCGAGTAGATCTATTAACACCCTAAATGCCACCAGATGAAATCACCCTCGGCAGTGTTCAAATAAGCAACAAAGCAAGCAACTGTCATTATACACAAGCAAGCTTAAATCTCCGACGATAGCCGTCGATAGCAGTGTAAGGACAATGTACCAGGATGTTTTGTGGTTATGGTGGGACATCCCGCAGGAGGTTGTCACTTAGATGCGGATGCATCACCTTTGCCGGAGGCGTATGGGAAAAGTAGGATGAGTGGAGATCTTGCAGGGAATGGCGGCGTTGGCAGAGCAAGTGGACAACCGGGGTGGAGCTCGTGGATCTAGCGGGTAACCATGGTGGTGCTGGTTATTTCGGATAGAATACTACTCCTAGACTTAAATCACTGAACCACTCTGGTCGATTTATTATGTCTAAATGATTTTTGCATGCAGCTTCTTTTGAAATACAGCTATAAGTTAAAAATCTTTTCGTATGCGAATGACTTAGCAACCAACCGTGGAAACACTTTATAGAGGCAGATGCGCACCGCTGGTTGCATGCATTGGTGGGCTTGCTTGTCCATAAATATTTAGAAATATTTGCGTAGGTGGACAACCTAATTATGCAGGCTCCATGTGCATGTAATTCTAAGATAAAAATGAATTTCATAGAGAATTCACATGGATTCTGATTAAGGTAAAAAAACTTATCTATGTGGTACTTACTACATGTGCTTCATTTTGGTTAGGTATCTTTATCCTTAAAATACTTTCATTACAAGGGTCACTCTCTATTGTTACCATGCGTACCATGTGACCTTAGCTTGCTAGATATCATGACATTTGTGAGAATACATAGTATTAAATTTATTAGTTGAAGGAGTTATTGACCTAACCAAATTGAAGGAATTATAGTAAGGGTCACTCTGGAATTTTGTTAATCACAATCGGCCTTCGTACAAAATTTCTATAAACTTTTGAATAAAAAGTAAAACCAGTTGAGACCACATGTCATTGAGAAGACTAATTTCTATGCGTCCACTTGTAAACTACTCTAGATACCATATTATAAGAGATTAGATTCAGCATATATTAATTTGGGTTAAATATTTAGTTTTAACATATACTCCTTCCATCCCAAACTATAAGACGTGCAACAACCACTAATGCAAAGGCCAAAAAAGAATTACTATCTCCTACTCATTTTCATCACAGCAATAAATACAATAAGTACACCCGATGGGATTAAATCTTGAGGGTGAAGGATTTTAAAAACGACGGATTTAGAAGAGTGGGTGTGCTAGTTAATTGCTTGCATGCATGCCTGCACGCACGCCATGTATTTTGAAACATTGAAAAAATATATATAGTTGTACTTATATTTTATTAGGATGGAGGGAATTATTACTTGCAACAAAAGATTTAACATATATTTTAATTTGAACGAAAGATTTACTAGCATATAAAACATGGCAATATATTAAAAATCAAAACTTTATCCCTAAATTACATACTGCCTGGGCCGGTCTGGTGTCATGGCCCTAGCAGCTGGCCCATCCAGGAGTACGTGCTAGGAGGCGGGGCCATGGGCCGTGGCTTTACGTCTTCCTCCGCTTGTGCCGGCGGCCCCTCCCAGCTGGTCGGTGGCCTCCACCTCGTCTTGCAGCTCCACAGCCTCTCACTCTGGCCCCCCACCTACTGTGCCTCAGTTGCCCTGGCCGGCCACACTCTGGCACCTCGCCTTCACACCGTGACCAGGACCTCGTCCTCGGGCTCCACATCCATGCCGTCCATAGGCCATGTACAACGCTCCACTCTGACCTGTGGTCTCACGGCTCCCACGTCAGAGCTGAGCCCACGTCAGAGCCGAGCCGAGCTCGTAGCCGAACGAGGTTCCACAGGCCGGAAGCGCGCTTGCAGAGGGAACGCTTGAAGCGCCGCACCTAGGCTCGGGAGCCGCTAAGCCACGACTCGAAGACTAGCATTGGAGGAGTCGGAGCCCCACGTATCGCTTCGTCCGGTCGGTCCCCGCGTGCACCTGCCCCAAATCCCCATCTCGCTGTGGTTGTCGTCGCCACTCACCGCCGCCATTGTGGTCGCGTCGCTGCTCACCAGATCCGCCGCCAGATCCGGTGAGCTCATGGTCGGAGAAGCACCGTCGCCGACGCTTGCGAAGAACGGAGGGGGAGAGGAACTGCCGTCGTCGTTGTGGTCTCGTCGCCGCTCGCCGGCAAATCCGCTGCTGTTGTGGCTTGTGTCGCCAGATCCAGCGAGCACGAGGCTGTATCCGCGCTGCCCAACTCTCTCTCGTTGTCGGAGAGCTCGAGCTCGAGCGCCGCCGATCCCGTCGCCCTCTGCTCACCTAGAGAGAAGGAAAGGGGAGATGGGGATCTCGCGGCGGCGTGAGGGACAAGGAGGGAATAGGTCTCACCGGCGAGCTCACGGGGTAGGGGAGGGGTCTGGTCGGCAAGGTGGACTAGGAGAAGAAGGAGAGCGCCGGTTTCTTTGGAGAAGAAGAATACGAGAATGCTCAGCAGAGAGAGGGAGAGAGAATAAAATAGATGGTTTCTATGGAGAAGACGAGAAGGCTCGGGAGAGAGAATAAAAAAGAGAGGGGGAGAGGCTGACAGTGGGTCCATATGGTGTTTAGGGGTGCATATATACTTCTTTTAATTGTTATAAGGACCAAAATATAAAGTTTTAATAGGTTTTATAATAAGATACACTATCAGAGCTGACATATAAATAGATAGTGGCTGAATGCAAAATACGTTTTGGAGTGGTTTCCGCTGTGAGTAGTGTGACCTTTGTGTGGTTCTATCCTATGTGGCGTCTTGAGATCACTGGTGCCTGCAGTGGTCTCCATTGTGCATGCCCTTAGGCCCATCTTCCTCCACACTCACCTCGCCCTCCCTTGTCCTCATCATCATCGTCGTTTCATTGCTGTCGTTTATGTATTAAGAGTAAAAAAAATCAATGAAACAAAGAAATAGTTCAATGCTCAAGATTGATTTTTTAGCTCTTACTTACCTGAGGTAAGATGGAGCATTGTGAGCTCGTAGTATGAAGATAGACAGAGAACCTACGCCTACAAAACATAGTTAGCTTTTTTAAAAGAAAATAAGCAAGATGATTACATCCTAACCTCTCTATTTAGAATAAACCCAACCATAAAGTTTTATTTACATAAATAGCCTCGAATAAGGGTCAAGACCTCCTATGAGATTAAATAAGAAAGCATACATATAACAATATTGTATACAAAAAGATAGTAATGTTTTACTGAAAAAATGGCATCATGCTTTGTACAGCAGGTTTAGGCTGTATGTTCAGGCGCGTATTGTGCAAGTTTAGGTGGTAATGGATAAAAAAGATTTCTGGTGATTAGTAAATTATTAATTACAAAAACCATCATTCCAGGACATGTTTGGGGCTGGCACGGATACGTCGTCTACAACACTGATTTGGACCATGGCAGAGCTCATGCGCTCCCCAAGAGTAATGGCAAAGGTGCAGGCTGAGATGCGGCAAGCCTTCCAAGGGAAAAACACCATAACTGAAGATGATCTTGCCCAACTAAGCTATCTAAAGATGGTATTAAAGGAATCGTTTCGATTACATTGCCCAGTGCCGCTATTGTCCCCTCGCAAGTGCCGTGAGACATGTAAGATCATGGGCTATGATGTACCCAAAGGTACATCTGTATTTGTGAATGTGTGGGCAATATGCAGGGATAGTATGTATTGGAAGAATGCCGAGGAGTTCAAGCCAGAGAGATTTGAAGATAATGATATAGAACTTAAAGGGAGTAATTTTAAGTTTCTTCCATTTGGCTCTGGTCGTAGAATATGTCCTGGGATAAATCTTGGGTGGGCCAACATGGAATTTGCCTTGGCTAATCTTCTCTACCATTTTGATTGGAATCTGCCCGATGGAATGTTGCACAAAGATCTTGATATGCAGGAGTCGCCCGGTCTTGTTGCTGCTAAATGCTCTGACCTAAATGTGTGTCCAGTTACTCACATTTCTTCGAGCTGTGCGTAAATGCCAGTGTAACACAATGCATCTTCAAAAAGATCAGAACAGCGCCCATAGTATATGTATGTACTGCCAGATATATATATGGGGTTGGTATATATGTGTGCTGTTAGATATGGGGTCTTCGCGATTTCAAGATAACTTATGTACCTGAGCAGAAAAAACATATTGAGCCTACTTATGTACGTACTTATGCTCTTAATAATTGTACTGCCAATGAAATAATTAAGTGTGTATCTTGTACATATAAAATACTAGGTGACCCGTAAAATTACATCCTATTAAGTACTTGCATATCTGTATATTTGTCCACTACAAGGGATTAGGCTTTCAGTGATGAACTCTAGTGATGAAACCCTCACTTCTCTCACTAGTAAGTGGTTGTATAGTGACAAATTATTTTGCTGTCACCATTGGACGGATATCTAGTGACAAACTGTTCTGCCATCACAATTTCACCTATTACTAGTGAGAAAATGTGTTTTTATCACAAAAGATGTAAACAGTGATGACCCAGTTGTGAGAATTTCAGGTCTGGTCACTATTGTATATTAAAAATTAGTGATAAACTACCCTGTAATCACTAATCATATCAATCGTGAGGAGTGAATGGTGATGAATTAGAGTGCTCTCGCTATCTTGCAGATACCTTGTGGCAACAAAGTTGTATCGTTGAGACAAGTACCTGTGATGAATAAATGTATTCACTGTTTGGTTCTAGTAGTACAGTACACCATCACTAACCTCCTTTTCATCCCTCTCTACCGCTTTGCCTATTCAACAGTCAGGCTCACACAGAGCAGGCAGCAGCACCCGGCGGCCGAAGGCGTGAGCCTCGGCACGACGGAAGGATTGCAGGCCAAGACGCTGAGGCTGCTATTAGAGGTAGAGCTGCTGCAACATCAGGCCCCGTAATGGTGGCTACAGGAGCTCTGCGACCTCGATCCAACGGCGGGAGCACGGCGAACTTGATACGGCGCGGCGGGGTCGCGGCGAGATCCATCCTGCATTCGAGTTGCGTCGAGTTCAATCCAAACCTTCAGAGGGAGGTTGAGCAGTGGTAGCAGGACGCGGCACGATCGGAGCACCCCGGGCTTACTGACGGCAGAACCAGAAGTGGTAAGTTCCATTTCATCTGCTTGGTGCTGCCGGCTACTATATCTTGATGCTTTGTTGATTAGTACCATGGATTGGCTGGATCTGTGTGAGCCAAGCCAAAACAACAGATTCGAGTGGGAGTCAGTTCAGTCAAAAAACCAAAAGGGGAAACCGAGAGGGAAACATGGGGTAAGGTGAGGAACGTGGGAGAAATACTCCTGAGCAGATGGATATACAGATGTCTCCAGATCCCTATCCTCTTTATCTGAAAAAAGCTATTATCCAGCATGGTCAGTTGGTCAAGGAGTATGGATTATATATCTGACCGTGACTTACAGAGTAGCAACAGGGCCCAATACTTAGTAGTACATGCTAGTTTCTACTAATCAGTCAAATAGGGCTCAATATGGATTAGTTACATTTCATAATCTGCAAGAAATTAATTTACTTAGTATATTGTATTAAACATATAGGCAATTAATGTCCTCAATATCAAAGAATTGTATTTCAGGCCAACATATTTTTGCTGTGTTTGTGTGTAAATTTGCAGTAACATGAATATAGTTTATAAATTAACTGTCATCTACATCTTCTTCACTTTGGATGTCACTTTCATCATCTGTATCTGTATACTCAGCGCCATCACTTTCAGAATCTTCCTCTTCTTCTTCCTCTTCAAACATATCATCTTCAGAATGTGTTACTGGTTCTGCTTCAATGGGTTCACATTCGACTCCATCTTTACTGAGAACCGTAGGGAAGTCACCATCATCAATTGTAGTGTAATTCAATGCAGCCGTGATATGCTCATTCTCTTGGCATGCTTCAGAACTAGACTTATTTGATAAAGTTGGATCATTTTCTTCTTCTTCTGTAGGAGGAAAGTCATACAAATCACGTGGCTTCGTCTTGACTACAACAAACCATTTAGGGTCTCTAGTATCTTTGACATAATATACTTGCTCAGCTTGTGTTGCCAAAATATATGGCTCATCAATTGGCAATGTACGGGAAGTATTAATTAAGGTAAATCTATGCTTGTCCTCTTTTACTACCCTTTTAGTGTGTACATCCCACCATTCACATTTAAACAATATGACACTGAAAGTACCTTGGTGTCTTGACAGATATTATCAAGCTAACATACATCTGTCAAGACACCAAAATAGTCTTTGCTTCCACTGGCTTCATCACCTTTAACAAAGACTCCACTGTTTTGTGATTGAACCAACATGTCTCGGTCCCTGGTGTTAAATCTCCATCCATTAATCATATAACTTGTGTAATGGGTTACTCGAGCATCAGGACCTCTTGCTAGAGCAAACAACTCTTCTGATATATCTGGAGATCCTTTGGAATGTTTCTCAAATATCTGGAAGAATGTTTATATAGGTTATAAATAGTTGTAAAATGTAAAAAAAAATACTTTTATTTTGGCGTGTACATACAGGATTCTTGAACCATACAAAAAATTCTTTGTCATGGCGCTTTTCCACACCTTTACTGTTCTGGATGCTAAGTTGGTCTTTGTGAATGTTGCAAGACATGCACATGTATGTTAAATTTTGACAGCATTTACATATTAGAAAATGAGAGTAAGTAGTAGTTGTTTACTCTGCGTATTCTGATATTTCTTCGCAATTCTTTAGTACATATATCCGAGCTTTCTCCAACTCATTCATATCCATCTGGCAGTATTTGTTACCAAGGAGTGGCCTGCCAACAGTACCAAATATCTGAAATTTTGTACTGCTGTTGTCACTCTGCACATCCTCGTTTCGATTTGGTCGATTGATTCTTGTTTCAACCCCTTGCAGGTACATAGAACAAAAATTTACACATTCTTGCAAAATATATGCCTCAGCTATCGATCCTTCAGGGCGAGCTTTGTTTTTTACAAATGACTTCAACCTTCGCAAAAACCTTTCAATGGGATACATCCACCGATACTGGACAGGTTCACCAGCAATAGCTTCCTAGGCTAAATGGATTGGTAGATGCAACATTACATCAAAGAATGAGGGGGGGGGAATCATCTCTAACTTACAGAGGGTACAGCTATTGATGATGCAAGCTTCTTGAGAATTACAGTATCTAATTTCTTGGAACAAATTTCTCTAAAAAAGCTACATAGCTCAATTATAGCCTCACAAACATTAGCAGGCAGAACTCCACGAATAGAAAGTGGAAGGTATCTGTGTAAAAATACATGACAATCATGACACTTCATCCCTGATATTTTAGCTTTTGTTGCATCCACATAGTGTGAAATTTTTGAAGAGTATCCATCTGGCACTTTTATTTCTCTAAGGAACTCACAAAATGCTTTCTTCTCAGCTAGTGTCATTGTATAGCATGCAGGACGAAATAAGAACTTCCCATCACCAGTTGGAGGTGCATGAAGTTCATGTCGTATTTTCATGAGTTCCAAATCAAACCGGGATTTAATATTGTCCTTTGTCTTCCCATCCAGATTTAACAAGGTACCCACAATACTATCGCAAACATTCTTTTCAATGTGCATGACATCTAGATTATGTCTTATCGATAACGTACTCCAATATGGCAGCTGGAAAAATATACTTTTTTTTTCTTCCAAACTCCATACAATGTGCTTGAGCGTTTTCTCTTATTGTTATGTTTCCCAAATTTCACCTGAATACATAAAGTGATGTCAATAATAATACACTACTCATATTCTTATACTCTATAAAGTAATAACAAATAAGGCATAGAATAGCAAATAGTATAATAATTTACTTTCAGATTGACCAGATAGGATCTACTATCATTCTGTACGCAAAATTCCCCGAGATCTCAATGGCAGACTATCAGTGTGTAATGACACAAGTTGAGCGACAGTACAATGTAAGACGCCACAAACTGTACAAGACCTATTGCACAACAAAACAGTGCCCTAGTCATGTTGCGCCAGAGGACTGGCAGTGGTTGATTGATAACTTATGGAGTGATGAGCAGTTCCAGGTACTTGTTTAATTTTCTTTGCAATACAATATGATTCATAATTCATTATTCTTATGAGATTATTATGTTTTTTAGAAACGGAGCAAACAAAATTCCATTAATAGATCAAAGCAAGAGATGAAATCACATGTTGGAACAAAGTCTATAGTGCAAATAGCACATGAACTGGTAAGGGATATTGTCATTCACTTATATCTTTAAACTATATGTTTGACATGTATATATATAAATTATAAGGCTTCTTTTGTATGTGATATAATTGCAGAGAAATCCAGTGACAGGTGAATGGACTAGTGCTATAGATGTTTGGAAGGCAACATATTTGAAGAATGGAACATGGTCTGTTTCTAATGGCGAAGAAATTCTGGTAAACAAAAATGTCTGTTACCTACATTTTACTGCATGAGTTTTTTTAATATGGACTTACATATTTTCTTTTATTTGTTTAGAACAATCTGCAGACAACAGCTGAAACAAACTATGAAAGGATTGCAGCTGCTAAAATCCCAATGGTTGAACTCTTTGCATTAGTCCTTGGCAGAAAGCCAAACCACTCGCGTGGAGTTGGTATTAGTGCAATCAATGAGGGAGCTCAAGAGAGGTACAAAGTTCATGCACAAGCAGAAGCTGCCCAACAGCAAGCCAATGATGCACATCAACAAGCTGCTGTTTTGCTCGAAGAAGTTCAAAAATTGACAGTAGAAAACTTGCAATTAAAGGGCGAGTTGCAGTCTCAGCGTGAAGAGTTGAATTCTCAGAAAAGAACCGTAGAGGAACAAAGTGGTCACATGGAGCGTTTCTTGGACCAGGAACTTGAGGAAAGAATGAAAGCAATGTGGGCACGCATGGGTGGCACTGGTGGTGCTTCATCTTCAAGTGCCCCAAACAATTAAGTAAGATTTCTTACGTCATACATGATTACTAATTCAATCTAATGGTCATTCGATTAATGTTATTTTTAAATTATATGTAGGAATTTCCAAGTTGACAAAGACTGGCGTCGTGGAGTTGCTACAAAGTTTTGTCCATCTAGGCGAGCATCCTAGAGTCCGTGTCCCAAGTTTCATTTGTTGCTTAGGTGTTCAGTTATCAATTTAGTTATGGTCTTAGTTGAAATGCTCTTTGTATGAGCACTTTGTTATCATTCATTAATAAAGGATAGTTTCCTCTAGTGTGAGGAACCCTTTTTAATTTAGGTGATATTTCAATTGAGTTCTGAAGTGCTCTATTCCAAGCATACTGTAATCATTCATGAATAAAGAGGTGCTCTGTTATGAATGTTTAAACTTGCCATTGCTCTATCGAGATTTCATCATCAGATTTTGTCATTGTTCACATGCTGGATATTGTCATAAAAGACGTGTTGTTTGTGGCAAGACTTTAGTCACATATATAAAACTTGCATCTGGATATTTAATTTTTTAGTGATAAAAGTTTTCCTTACAGCAATACCCTTTTTTTCTCCACTGATGCATTACTTCATATGTGAAAAAGGTATTGTCACATATACATATTAGCTTGGTCACTACTACATTTGTAAAGAATGACCAGTTTTCGCAACAAATAACACGTCATTTCACCACAATATATCTTACTTCTTGTGGTTTTTACTTCTCAATATAAACTAATATCTTATCACAAAATCCCCTGTCATATGTGAGAAAAGTTATTAGCAAAGGTATATTTGTGATGGTGAGTTATCGGTAATTAGTAATATGTAGTGACGGGCAAACCAACACTAACCGTCGACAATATTGTGAGAAAAAAATTCCATCACTACACGTTCACATATGTGAGGGCACTATTGTCACTAGTATCTCCTGTAATTGTGACCACGATACCATCTCTAATGTACTGCTTATTAGTTGCGACAGTATTATCACAAACAGAGCCATTATCTGTGATGAAAAAAAAATCATCACTATGCTACTTGTGATGGCAGTAGTGGTGACAACATAGTGACGACCCCAAAATTCGTCACAAGGGGGTAATTGTGATGAGAAACAGCCTTTTAGTGATGAAGTTTTTCATCACAAAAGACTTGATCCCTTGTGGTTGTCCTACCAAAGATATACTCCCTCCGTCCCATTATAAGTGTAATGGTGGTTTTCAATATCCAACGTTTGACCGTCCATCTTATTTGAAAAATTTATAAAATAATTAAAAAGATAAAGTCACACATCAAGTATTATTTTATCATCTAATAACAATAAAAATATCAATCATAAAAAAATTTTTAAATAGGACGGACGATCAAATGTTAAATATAGAAAACCACAACTGTACTTATAATGGGACGGAGGGAGTAAGTGTGTATTTCCATGGACAACCCATCTCATACCTGTTTTCTTTCCTATCATACAATTCCTCACTAATACATTACCTCAGATCTCTAACAGGTCATCTATGATGGCTTGAGGAGACTATCTCGGCTCTCTAGTCTGATTTTTCGATGAAGGATTTGGGTGCTGCTCATCATTTTTTGGGCATCACTGTCACTCGACAACACTCTGTACTGTTCCTGTCTCAGCATCAGTACTGTCGCGTGAAACTTGAGCGTACCAGCACTAGTACAGATCCTTCTATCTGTGATGGCCTCTAACATGCCTGGAAATAGCGGGCCGTCACAAGGAAGTCATCTCAATCGGGCCAAAAAAGTGCCCGATTGAGATATGGTCGCATAGACATATTAGATGGGCATAAAACTTAAGCCCGTCACGGATGACACCTATTAATGACGGGCTGTAGTTTAGGCCCGATTAAGATAACATTCCATATCTCAAACGGGGCTGAAGTTGGGGCCCATCACAGATTACCATCATCCGTGACGGGCACGTAGTTTAGGCCCGATTGAGATAACATTCCATATCTCAAACAGGCCTTAAGTTGGGCCGTCACAGATGACCATCATCCGTGACGTGCACCAACTTGAGGCCTGTCACAGATGACTCATCAGTGACGGACTATATACTAATCCCCGGTTGACATGACTTAATCTCTATCGGGCATTAACTAAAGCCCGTCATCGATGAGTATTTTTCCATTTTACATATGAAATGTTTATATTTGTAAGTTGAACTATAGAAAAACAATTAACTTGCAGTATAATAATTCAATTTATGAGTCAAAATAATTTTACGCGTAGTAAATGATATCAAATGGAAAAGTCATCAACAACAAAGTTTTATAACTCATCAAGATCTATAACTTTTATTTTGGTCATTTTTATTTATAACATTTTTTGAACAGTTTGAATTTGAATTTGAAAATATGACAACTTCAAACAACATTTTCAAATACTAAATGATTTCAACTAAAAAAGTAATCAACAACAAAGTTGAATAACTCAACAAGATCTGTATCTTTTATTTTGGTCATTTTTCTATATAACATGTTATGAACCATTTGAATTTAAATTTAAAAATATGACAACTTCAAACAACATTTTCAAATAATAAATGATTTCAACTGAAAAAGTTATCAACAACAAAGTTGAATAACTCATCATGATCTAAAACTTTTATTTTGGTCATTTCTTCATCTAATAAAATGTTAGTAACATTGTTCATAAATTTTACATATATATATGTGTCATTTCTTCATCTGATAAAATGCGAAGAATTTTGTTGTTGATAATTTTTTCAGTTGAAATCATTTAGTATTTGAAAATGTTATTTGAAGTTGTCATATTTTCAAATTCAAATTCAAACGGTTCAAAAAATAATGTTATGTAGAAAATGATCAAAATAAAAGTTATAGATCTTGATGAGTTATATAACTTTATTGTGGATGACTTTTTCAGTTGAAGTCATTCACTAACAAAAAATTGTATTTTATTTTCTCAAACTTTGAATTTCAAAATTAAAATTGTTTATATAGAGTCAGATGGAGAAATGACCAAAATAAAAATTTCGCACCTCGATGAGCTCTACAACTTTGGTTTTGGTGACTTTTCCATTTGAAATCATTTATTAATCCTAATTTTTGTTTGAAGTTGTCAAATTTTGAAAAAATTAAAATTTAAATTATTCAAATGAACTTATTTGTACAAAGGACCGATACAATAGTTGTAGATCTCGATAAGTTATACAATTTTGTTGTTTATGATTTTTGATGGTTGTGTATGTGAATGAATGTATATGAATGAGGGATGGTGTGGTGTGACATCCTGGCCTAGGGCTTAATACGATTAATAGAATACTCATACCAACAAGTTACAACTACTCTTCTGGAAGCCGATCTTTAAAAACCTTTGATGTTAAGCGTGCTTGGCCTAGAGCAATTTCTCGATGGGTGACCAATCGGGAAGTTCTTCCGGGTGCACATAAGTTAGGACAAAAAAGACTGGCTTGAGAGAGGCGGGACGACATGCCTTTGGAGCAATTTCCCGATGGGTGATCAATCAGGAAGTTCTTCCAACTTAGGCCCGATTGAGATGACTCATCTGTGACGGGCTATAGTTAATGCCCATCACAGATAAGGGTCATCTGTGACGGGTTATAGTTTAGGCCCGATTGAGATAGGTCATACGTGACAGGCTATAGTTTGGCTGATCGTCTGGGTCAAAGCTATCGGTGACGGGCTTTAATTATGGCCCGATTGAGATAGGTTCATCCGTGACGCCCGTTTGCCCGATTGAGATAACTTTTCACATCAGTGACTTCTAGCCTGTGACGGACGCCATGCCCGATTGAGATTAGGGTTGCCGCCCGATTGAGATGATGGTATCCGTTCTTGTATAGTATGTCTAAGACTACAAGCCATGCTCTTCTCCAGTGGATACCAGTGCCGAAGTTTCTACTTGTGATACTTCCACTAGTATAGATCCTTACATATGTGACGACCCCTAACATGCTTAGAATTAGTGGGCCGTCACAAGGAAGTCATCTTAATCGGGCCGAAAAATCGTCCGATTGAGATATGATCGCACATACATGCTAGATCAGCATAAAACTAGAGCCCGTCACGGATGACACTTATCTGTGACGGGCCATAGTTTAGGCCCGATTGAAATATCCTTCATTATCTCAATCGGGCCTTAAAAGAAGCAAGTCACAGATGATAGTCATCTGTGACGGGCGCCAACTAGAGGCCCGATTGCGATAAGTTTAATGCCCGTCACAGATGACACTCTTCTTTGATGAGCTTTTATTAAGGCCCGATAGAGATTACTTGTATGTCCGTCACGGTTGATTGTTTTAGGGCTGTTACAGATATTTGTTGCATAGTATAAATACCCCCAACCACCTAGTGTAAGTGTATCCCACTATTCACTATTTTGGTGGGAGGCCGTAGGGGGCCACTTTTTTTTCTCTTTTCCAAGTTAAACAGAAAATTCCAAAAAGTAATCATTGATTCAGCAATCAAGTGAGTAATACTAATCATTAATTCAGAAATTTCATCACTTCTTACTTTAGCAATACCAATCTTATAAGATGTGCCTCTAATTTTTTTTAGCAATGGATCGAAGTTGGATGTATGCGATAACTTTGAAATTTCATTTTGCGGAGTACAGAAATGGCGTGATAAATTTTATGAACGCTGTGGAGGAGGATAGGAAAAGAAGAAACAATGATTACATGTGTTGTCCATGTGCAGATTGCAAGAATGAGAATATGTTTGATAGTGGAGGGGTTGTACACGGTCATCTGATATAAAGAGGATTCATGAAGGGCTATACATGTTGGGTGAAGCATGGAGAGCAAGAATCAGGAAGTGGTGCAGCTACAGACAAAAGTGGTGCGCATAATCAGGAAGATGAAGATGAGCATGACATATTTATACCTTCTCCATTGGGCGGTGAAATGGTTGATGTGGATCACGATCTGGTGCAAGACATGTTACGTGACGTTGAGTACCCAGCCCACAATGAGAGAGATTGCATGAAGTTCAGCGGGTTGGTCAGTAACTCCGAGACGCCTCTGTATGCCGGATGCAAAGCAAAACACACCAAGTTGTCAGTTACATTGGACCTAATGAAGCTGAAGGCAAGTAGTGGATGGACAAACAAGAGTTTTACAGATCTTTTAGGAATTTTGAAGGCTATGCTTCCTGATGAGAACACATTGCCCGAGACAACATACGAAGCAAAGCAGATTCTGTGTCCACTGAGGTTAGAGGTCCATATAATTCACGCTTGTCCAAACGACTGCATATTGTACCACAAGCAATATGCGGACTTAGATGGTTGTCCTGTCTGTAAGGCTTTTCGATACAAGCGAAAGAAAAGTGCTGATGAATGCAAGAAGTCAAAGAGGTGTGGTCTGGCAAAGGTTGTGTGGTATCTACTTATCATTGATCGTTTCAAGACAATCTTTTCCAACCCCAAGGAAGCGAAGTTAGTACGTTGGCACGCCACAGATAGAAGGAATGACGGTATGCTTAGAGACACAGCGGATTCAATCGAATGGGGGAATATCGATCGAAAACACAAAGACTTTGCTGCCGACCCTACAAACATGAGGATATGTCTGTGTACGGATGGCATGAATCCTTTAGGAGACATGAGAAGTACTCACAGCACTTGGCTAGTTCTTATTGCAAACTATAACCTCCCGCCATGGTTGTGCTTTCAACGGAAATATATTATGTTGTGCTTGTTAATCCAAAGTCCGAGGCAACCCCGCAATGATATTGATGTATTTGTTGGCAGCTGTTAAATGCCGATTCTATACCGCCAACATCTGCATAAAGTTCATATAATAAAACATCCAACATAGTGATAGGCGCTTAATTTCACATATTTCACAAGTGTTTGTGTATATTTGTATGCAGGTGATAAACCCTAAAGTTGGGAGGAAAACAAGATTAAAGTGAGGAGAAACAAGTATCCGTACAAGGATGGGTTGTGAACTTCATCAAAATACCAAAGACTCAGCCCAAAACTCCGAGAAATGGGCAGAGGAGAGTCCAGGGAGTCCACAGGCCGAAGGCCAGGCCGGGAGGGCCCAGCCCAGGTTCGGCCGAACCCTCCCGGTCACCGTTGATCCTGGGGTTTGGCGTGGACGCTCCAGATGATCTCCTAATGGCGGTTGCGGGGCAGTTCGGACATTTCCCCTTCTCACAACCATCATAACTGCCCTATAAAAGGAGCTTCACTCCTTCACTCTCACACACACTTTCAAGCTTGAGCTGAATTATAAGATGCCCTATTATACTATGTTGTATAATAGAATAGGAAGAGAGTAGAGTAGAAGAAGTCGGAAGAATTCCGGAGTTGTTGGTAATCTTCTCTCATTTCTTTTTTTCTGTTCATTACTCTGATTTCAATATAATATTTTTCTTGAGTAATTTAGATTTATCTTGTGAGAATTATCTCTTGGTTAGTTTCTAAATAGCGTACGGGATTATTGTTCACTATAATCAACTGAAATATAGTGATTACTTTGGTGAGTTATAAACACTAAAGTAGATATTAATTGCTTAGACGTAGTGTTTATGTAATTGTTATCCAGTAATTGCTCCGTATCCCACAGTACGTTTGAGGTAGGTGTAGAGGTGGTGATAGCCCTCGAGATCACTTAAGTCCTCCCTGTCCAGGTACGTAGTAGAGCGACATCTGGGAACAGCGGATTGCCAGTGCCTGAAGTATTGTGTTAGGATTAAATTTAAGCTTTCCCTAGACACTGTTTCTCACCAGTGAATCCTCTCTATCCTGGCCAATCCTTTGCTTGGTGTCCTTGGATGAACCGGAGAAAGAACTGACCACACACGTTCCCTTGGATTCGATACCCTTTGGAATACTCCGTGGGGGAAGTGCTACATCGGTATATCTGTGCGCATGCAGATTTTATCTGTGATCGTAAGAATTACCAATAAGCATTTCTGGCGCCGTTGTCGGGGAATGGTTGCTGATCATTTCAGAACCCAGTTCATCCTCGTATTTCTTTTTCACTTTTTATTCTACCTTTACCCCTGCTACCCAGAGAAGTATTCCTGTTAAATTCTTCTCGACTATAGAGCAACCTCTCTTTGAGCTGTCTGCTTCTAGGGGCGAATTCTATAAGCCACCTCCTTCATCGGAGCGCATTTATACAACTGGCTATGAAATTCGCTCTGAACTAATCAGCATGGATAGGGAAAATCCTTTTTCTGGTTTTGATTTAGAAAATCCCTACCATCATCTGCGAGACTTTGAGCAAGTCTGCTCATGCCTTAAGATTCGTGGCATGAGACAAGAAACTTGTTAACAGTGAAATTTGGTAAGCCCGGAGTAATCATCGGCTTAGAGTCAGTATCGGCTTCGAAGTCCTGAGATTAGCCGATGAGTGTTGTCAAGTCGTCAGTTGTCGGATTCTTGCTATATTCGGTTAAGGAAATTGATCTGCTAAAGGAAGCTTATCCAGAAGAGACCGAGTTCAAAGAGAATGCGGCATGACAAGTTATCTATTAATTAGGAATAGTTTGTTAGTTTCCTTTTATTTTTAGGAAAGTGTGTTTAGTGTCCTATAAGGACTTTATCTTTTCCTTTTATCTTTAGGAAAGTTTCTTTCTTGTCTGACAAGGACTTGTATCAACTCATGGGTATAAATATGTACACCCGGGGTCTATGTAATCTATCGCTACGATCAATACAATTTGGCGCATCGCCACCTTTTACCTTTTCTACTTTATTTTATCGTCCGGCGGGACTTGGCACCTGACGCGAGGCTGCATCGGTGTTCGATCTCCACCTAAGGGGTAAGTCCAATGTTCCGCCGGCCCAGGCAATTGTCTCATCTACATCAGCGTCGTTCAAGGCTGCATTAGTACATTCGACCTCTTGGATTGCTCTGGTTTGGATGATATATTTGCTTACCTATTTATCATATGTCTCTGTTAATCTAGTCTTAGCATATCAATTTAGCTCTATCGGCTGCTTCTCGTTTTAGGGTTTCTGCCGGTGTCGGCTAAATCGTTTGCTAGATTAGATTAGCTTAGACATCTACCACCGTAAAAACTCAATCAACGGCTTGATTGTCTAGATATTATGTTTCTTTTCATACTTAGTGTTGCATCAGTTATGTTTTATCTACTAAGTCGTGCTTAGAACCATAATCTCTAGCCTGCTTCTAGATTGCCAATAAGGGTTTCATCGGGGTTTCATCCGGTCAGTTATTTAGACGTTGCATCGGCTCATAAGGATTGCATATACATAGAAGTTGGATTTAGCCGATAACAACAAAGGTTTCACTGTTTAATCTAATCTTGTGGATTTCATGACATCGGACCTCTAGCCGATGTGTGCTTTAACCTTCGGATCGATGCTTATTTATCATATCACTATTTGCCGATTGGTTTCTACTGGATTATATTGCTATATTATATTATCATCAGTCGATTGCCTTTATATCATTATCTACATTGGACATATAGCCGATTGCTTAACCCTATCGCTATTGGCTGGTATCGGCATCGGCTATTATCGGCTATCGGTTGGAACTACTCCATCGGCTTGTCAGCCGATCGGCTGTTTTGATCTACTATTTGCATATCTTGTCAGTTGCAGGATCAAACTGACTGGCACGCCCTCATCTCAACAACCTTTGGACCTGCACTGGAGCTAAGCAGATCTCCCAGGCCAGTGTATTCGATTTTTTCGTCAACAAAACTGTACGGTGGAAATTGTTTCCGTTCTCCCTTCAAGAGAGAGCGAAGCAATGGTACACCTCTACAGTCAGATGTGTAAACGCTAGCTGGGAAAAGTTGCGAGAGAGATTCTGTCTTGCATTTTTCCTAGATACTCGTATTACTACCTTTCGAGTAGAAATCCTTAGTTTCCAGCAGATCAAAAACAAATCAATCGGTGCGGCTTGGTCAAGATTCGCTAATTTAGTACAGTCCGGACAAACCCTGTTTATGTGCTATTGCAACATTTCCATACGGGCCTGGATAAGGAGTCTGCATTCTATCTGGATTCATTGATTTCAAAATGTTGCTACCTATTGCAAAATTAGACATTTCCTATCTATCTAGATTCATTGTACTATGAAGTACAACACTCCCTCCGTTTCACAATGTAAGTCATTCTAGCATTTCTCACATTCATATTGATGCTAATGACATATATATCTGTCTAGATTCATTAACATAAGTATGAATGTGGGAAATGTTAGAATGACTTACATTATGAACGGAGGATGTATCTAATTAATCATATACCAGGTAGTAATATTTTTTATAAGTAATATATGAAAATGGCACTTCCCCACAAAGCCTATATGTCTTTAATCGTAATCTATATGATTAAGCGGGATTGGGTTAACAAAATGGCTCTCGAACATATCCTTTAGCTCCAGGCTATTGCTGAAGCCATTCTTCTTGCCATGGTATAGGAGGGTGGCGGACATGCACAGGTTGGCGATCCGCTGCACGAACGGGAGGAACGCGCGGTGCTTGAAGCGTATCTGGTTCATGCTTTTCCACCCGTCCTCAGCCATTCCAGCGATCTTCGCCTCGGCGACCTCTCTCGTCACCCCGTGCTCGTTCATGTAACACTCCACAGTGCTCGCCACATCCATCTTGTCCCTCCCACTCTGCATGCATGCCAATTAATACATATATTTATAGTTAGTATTTATACATATACATATACATATATATATATATATATATATATATATGCCAATTAATTAATACTCCATCCAAAAGTATTTAATATTTATTTATTTTTCTGATTCTTTTTTTTTTGAAGAGGGTCCTATATGTCATCTTCGGATATCCAAAACATATATGAATAAATAAATTAAATTATTAATCAGAATCCAAGTAGCCATCTAAATTTTCATTAATTGCATGTAGCATATACATTTTGTCCTCATTACACGCAGGATAAATTAATTACTTTTTGGTGATAAAAGTAATACTGCTACATCTTTCGAGCACTATTAGAAAACCGATTTTTTATCATTGTACCCAAAACACAAATATGTCAGTTAGATTTAGAATCGGTACTAAAAATATTTTGCAGTACCTGTTCTAAAAGTCGAAGTCTCAAAAACGTTTCTACTTTCGATTGGTGTTACCAATCCAACCGAAGTTAAAGATGGAGAAACCAAACCCGTACTAAAGATACCGGATGGTAACACCAACCTAGAATGTTTTTACGGTTTTAGTACATGTTAGTTAAAGAAGAAAGCATCTATATCAAAGTTAGTTATGTATAGTAGGTGAGATGGTAACACAAATGAGGACTGAGGTGAGAGAAGTCTTGAGTTTGAATCCCACATCCGACAGATTATTTTCATTTAGTATGCATCAACCAGTACTAAAGATCGAGAATAAAAATAAAGGGGATTTTAAACCGGTAATAAAGTGGGGTGCACATAACTAGAAATACCAAAGGTTGTACAGTGGCCCACCACTTTGCTATTGACCTTTGTTATTTTAAGCATGTGTTTGTGTGCATTCGTGTGTTATGTGCATGTGTAGTACTATGCCAGTCGTTTGCACCTCTAGTGTAATCGCAAAAAATAATGTATATTAAGGACATGAGCACGTCCAGTGTACACTAAGTTCTTAATAAACAACATGCTCGGAACATTGTTCGTAAAATATTTTCCCTTTTATTGAGGTGTCGGCTAGCCATATAATATATTCTCGGTATTCAAATATATAATATTATTGACTTTATTTGGTTCCTATGGTGCAATTTTTCACCACTAATTTTCTATTAGACTATAACGATAATTAAATGTCTAACTAAATTATAATATGGGTCAAGACACTAAATTATAATAATGTAAATGTGCTTATAAAGAAAAAGAATTATCTGCACGAATTTTATGTTTGAGACTCGAAGTTTCAAAATTTTGATCGAATAAATTTAAAAGTGACGCATAATTAGATACGGAGGGAGTATTATTTGTTTATGCTCAGGCACATGATCGATACAAGCGAAATCAAGATCGTGATATTAATTAAATGACCTACTTTTGTATAGTTTGTATTTTCAAAAAGTAGCGTTAAATGGCATTACTTTCTCCGTCTCAAAATAACAACATTTCGGAATGTGACACGTGTCCAGATTTAGTGGGTAGCTAGCACACATGCATATGAATATTAATTAGTCATACATACGTGTGATGCAGCTAAGTCATCCATGAATCGTGCCACCTCTGCAAAGGCCCTACCAGCATCAGGGTTAGCCAAGGCCCAATCCAACACCTCCTTAGTTGCTATATCACCCATGCCAACAATTAAACTAACAGGTAACTCTATTGCACCTCCGGTCTGGAGGGAAACAGTCACATGATCAGTAAAGCATGGAATATAGTTTTGATGAAACCATTCTGCTTCTTGGAGGAAATTGCTCGATAGTATTTGAAACTGCATGTAGCCAAAAAAAAAAAAAAGGGGATAAGCACAAACTAGTGATCGAAGAAGACAATTAGTGTTTTCTACCTTCAGGTAGGTAAAATGCATGATTGTCATCCCAGGTTTTAACAAGTTTATTGGTCCACTAAATTATTAATTAGTTAACATATATATTATTCCACTACTTGTTAAGTAGTGGCAAATTTATTTTATGGTGTTGGATTGTGAGATATACACTAAAATTATATTCCAAGAAAACAGTACGTGGCCATAAGTACTTTGATAAGGAGCTAGAGACTGGCGTTTTACCGCTTTAATGTTGTAAGAATTACGATATTTCTCATGTGGTTCCAATTCATCCTCAAACTCCCTAAAGTTACTTATTATGCTCAGAAAAAATCTCTTCAGGTCCTCTGGTAGAAGTGAAACGTCACTCTTGTCCCATCTGCATATAATTATATAGCACACACAATTAATATACGTGTCTGCGTATGTGTGCGTGTGCGTGTGCTGCTTTATTAATTATTACTTATCGAAACGAAAGGCAAGAAAAGAATTGAAGTAGACCAAACCTTTGCAGAGCATCGTTAAACTTGCGAGCCTCCTCTAAAGTTGCACGCACATCGTATGTATCATCGAGCAGTGAAAATAGCATACACCTCTTGGCGAATATCATACGGGCCCGTGCGTGCTCTTTTTCATAGTAGGCAGCGTATGCACAAAAATAGCACTCAACCACACGTTCACGGACGTAGTCGAGTCTAATGTCACTTGAAAGATTCTCCCACCACCTATAATATATATAATATAATATATTAATTCTATTTTCTCGCTACAATGATTAGTAATAAAATCATGTGGGGAGAACAGCGGCGCAGACTAGAAAACTTACTGACAAATTTCCTTGAGTTCATTTTGGTGAACTTTTTGTAGAATATTGAAATCAAGCACGGCTAGCTCCAAAATAGAGGGATTGAACATTTTCTCTTCAGCGCTATACTCGAAGATATAATTTAGCACCTCTACTCTCTTCATGGTCCTTGGTAACGGTATCTCAAGGGCACGTGTTACTTGTTCATCCAATGGGTACGCGAGGTTGCCTCTCAATAATTGTAGGTGATGCCTTGCAAACAATATAGCTTCTTCAAGTGCTTTCTCGTTGTGAGTTAGAAGGTGAGCTGCGTTGTATAAACTTAACAAGCCCTTCGGATCATTAGTTATGTCATCACTACTAAAGCTCCCATCTTCAGCTTTGAATTTGTTGAATTCATCTGTGTTCAGTACAGACCATAAAGATCAATCAAATAATTTAGAATAACTAATGTTGTACATATTCTGCTTAGTAGACTTCTCAGTTCTCACAAGTCATTGAAATTATGATATAACAAAAAGAATGGAAATTCAAGATTCGTGTGGAACAGAATAATTTCACTGAAATTTTCCAATGAAGGAGTAAAAATAATCCCACACTCCAAATACATCATTTAGTCTAAGTGTGTTATTGGTATTTAATTCACTGTTGCAGTATATGTACCTGGCGAGACCCAATACCCTTGTTTCCTAAGTAAGCGAAACCGAAGGGCAACCTCGTAAAGGTCAGAGCTATTGAACTCAGCTCTATGAATATTTTTTAGAATGGTGTCGATCTGCTCCTCAAAATGATGATCTATTCCCAAACGTTGGAGCACATCCACCAGGTTCATTTGCTTTACCACATCATCCTTGCAAACCTCAAGCATTCTACCTACCTCCTCAACCAACTGATCTACTCTCTCTTCCATCCATTCATCTGACTCCTGCAAGATACATGGAAGGACATATAGGCAGGTAGTTACTTTTATAAACACATAACAAATTATTTTGTAAAAAGTATCATTTTGAAACAATCTTAAAACAATATTTAATTTTACAACAGTTGTATGAAGAGTATTTCCCCTACCATTTTGGTGGGGGTTACTGCTAGCCGGCAGTATCAAGATTACTGCAGCGACCATGTGGTTTTACCGGAAAAACCGTTTGGTAAGAGTGAAATTCAGTGAGGTTTTAAATACTGATAAGGGCATGTGGTAACCGCAACAATCTTACGGTAACTGTGCGATGTTAAGAATCCTTCACTTTGTATACGCGGCTTAAAAAACAACTTTTCCTGCTTCTAGACTTTCCATTTTCAGAGGTGGCTAAAATTTGTAACCACCTATGATGAAGATGACCGATGCAGTCTCCGGTAATTAGACCGTCTGTGAAATCATATTTTGACAAGCAGTGTCTTAAGAAAACTGCATATGCAAATAAACCAATTTTCATGGGTGTTTAGCCTATAGTGAACCGTCTATGAAAATGCTGATAAAAGTGGGGTAATTTTTATAGGTGGTACTATCTATAAAAAGCTCTATAAACCACCCTTTAAAATGGGAGGAATAGTATTTAAAGAAAAAAATCATAAGTCTTTCATACGAAGTTGGATAAAAACAAATTTTATATGAAAATTGTAGCACTAGATGAGATATAAATTTTGTAGTTGAAATTTTTTTCATGTGAGATTGTTTAGGGGTCGAAATTTTCTTTAGAACTCAGATAGATACCTGTTCTATCAAAATTAGATCTTGACAACACCTGCATCTTTGTAGTTGCAAGTTTTTTCCACTTGAGATCGTTTAGTTGGCCAAATATTCAGTACAGTCTCTCAGATATAATTTTTTATTGGCGAATCATATGGAAGTCGAAGCTTTCAAATTTCATATAAAATGCATTTTATGTCCGATTAAGTTGAACCAAAGTTATGCAAGATCATTGCAACATTTCTTTTAATATTGGGTGATCTATATTTTCTGACAAAATTTGCTTTACTGTGGTCAATTACTTATGTTAACTTGTATATAGCATGCAAACTCTATAGGGAACTTGATACAGGAGAACAATTGTATTGAAAGAAACATGCTATCGAAATATGGACCATAGCATGTTAAATAAAATATTGTAAGGATCATAGATAATAGTTTACCTCAATTAATCATAAATGAATTTTCACATACGGATTGCTTAAGTAACCACATAGGTACTAATGAATTACTGCAGATGGTTCTCTTAATGAACCTCCTTCAAGAATTTTTTTTTAAAAAAAACATAATTCAAGAGAAAAAAACTTTTACACAAATGAAGTTAGATGCACATAAATTTTATACGAAATTTATTGCTCTCAGTGAGATCTAAAATTTTTTTAGTTGATAGCGCTTTTTTCCATTTGACATTTTCATATTCCCTAATATTTGTTACAAGCTATTAGAACGAAATAAATTTTAGAGTTTTTTGAAACCACCTCAGATGGAGACGTGCTCTCCATCAAAATTGTAGAGGTCAACGGGATAAGTTTATGTCTTTTCATTAGATGCCATCTGTAGTGCCAAATATGGAGCATAATTTTTTGAAAGGTTAAGTCAAAATAATAGCATACAATCACATCGTGGTTGTCGGTAGTTATATCCAACTATATACGGTAGGACGTAACATACTAGTAGTACGTGATAAAGAGAGCAGATTCCCGATATGGAATCTGTGCCTATATATAAATCGCTTATTTTTGGCTGTGTTTAGTTTCACGCTAAAATTAAAAGTTTAAAGAAATTGGAGCGATATAGTGAAAAAATTGAAAGTTTGTGTATGTAGAAATGTTCGATGTTATGAAAAAGTTGAAAGTTTGAAGAAAAAACTTTTAAATCACGCGTGGGTACGGTGACTGAATGCCTGTACGTTCGTAGGGTATGGTTATAGGTTACCACCCGTACGTGGTAAAAATGGTTTACCTAGCTAGCTAACAGTACGAATGCATGCATGCACGGACGTACATGAACATGTACATATATTGCAGTACATACTTTGGGTGATGGTTGGACGTTGTTGATGAAGAAGTCACCGAATATCGCAGGGTGGAAAGCCGGCGCCATCTTGGCGTCGGGAGACGGCGACGTCGCGGTACTACTGCACATGCAGCGCACGGGGCGCGCGGCGGCGTGGGAGGACGACGGCGGACGACGACGAGCGGCGGCGGCTGGCGCCGGAGCCGCAGTAGAAACGGGCACCAGCGAGAGGAAAGCCACGTGGCTCTTCATCCCGATCGATGATACCATTGTATACCAATTAAGTGTAGTCGTTGAGATATGTATCTCTATTAATAATTGTACCAAGGCAAGTGCTTTAATACTTCCAAGGCGCGCGCGGCGCCTTTTATATATAGGAGCTCAAAACCGGCCGGTTACTAAGTACTCCACTACTACTAATCAAGTGAAAGGTAATTCACTAATTAAACTAGTTTTAGCCAAGTACGTGGAATTGAAGACAAGTTTGTTACAGTAGGAGAATTAAGTACGTATCTCCTCAGAGAATATAGTTGGTTAAGTCAAGCCAGTTAGCCAGATCATATGCTACCCATAATTCCCTTAGATCAATCGACCACGTGGTAATTAACTGAATCCACGAGAGGAATGAAATTAATATTCAAAACAAAGACAAGTCCGGGTGTAACGGTACGCACGCTTTTCACGGTTTTTAATTATAGACACCGTTAATTTTTAAACATATATACGTTTGATCATTCGTACAAAAATAATTAATTTTAATAAATTTCATTGTCATTTGGGTGCTTTAAGCATGACTTGAATTTTTATGTAATTACACAATTCTTTTTAGTAAAACAAATAATCAAGCGTATATCCAAAATCCCATGTGAAATCGTACATTAAATATATTGAACCAGTCTTAAAAAAAACAATATATTGAACCCGGTGGGAGTAGTATATACATATTTTCTTTGTACATAAGGAAGAAGAAGTGCATGCACTAGGTATGCAAATTCTACAAGCTAATGGTTTACTTAACTTCCAACGACTTTTCATAGCAAAAAAGCTTCTACCGTGCAGTAGCGCACTATCCATCCATCCAGTCAAAAAAATTTCAACTTTGGCTGTTGACATTTACCATGGAATATACAGGCAGTCAAAAGGCGTGACAGACCTCCGATTGTCGTAAAAACAAAGGATGGATGAGTCCTACTCCTATACTCCTACGAGTCTCCGATAACACACGACAATTTTTATACTAGCAGATACTCCCACATGTGCTGCTAGCAGGCCGGCGCAGCTGCGCCAGCTAATTAACTCGTGCATCCTATCATCGTAAAGATACTACCATTAGTACTGACGTGTAGAATAACTCGTCGGTACCATGCGTTTTGTCGTGGGATATATTGATTAATGATGTTATATATTTTAGAAATGATATATATATATATATGCATGTTCAAATAATGTAAAAAATGGTATATAGATAATGATTCGACATTGCTTGTATATTAAATTCTAAAAATACAACAAAATTATAAATGGTACGTCATTTTTGCATGATATTTAAAATACTTTAGATAATAATTGCTAGTGGGTGATGATGTGGCATACTTACATGTTAAACTTAAGTAGTTAGCGTGCATCAACTTTATAGTCTTTTAATTCAAATTTTAAATCTTTTAACTGCAAAATTCGAAAATTTCAGCTCTAAATTTAAAATTTTAATTTTAGGTACAAATACAGTAAAAGAAAAGTCATAGTTGGTACCAATTATAACTTGTATGTAACTTCCGTAATTTTGAATCGTTAGATTTATTACAAGATTTGTGCATGTGTGATAGGATTTGTTCTCACGACCTCCATTTTACCCAAATAACATGTTATGGAGATATTTTTGAAAGTTACATCAAGTTAAATTATAGTTACAGTGTAATTACATGTAAGTTACATTGTAATTACACTACGATTTTACTTTAATTACATATGTCATTTTTTTGGGAAAACAATTGTGGACAAAAATTATTGTCGAAAGATAACTGCGTCACGTCAAAAGATGTGGTTCACTCGGTGAGTTGATGGAATAGTGAAAGCAATATATTAATTGATAATAAATTTTTAGGATCCCCCATTACATGGCAATATGGGGCTATTTATAGTCTTCGTACAGACTCATACCCTCTAGGGTTTAGTTAGTACAGGGAAATTTATACGGATACCCTTATGATAGAGGCATTAGTGAGGATACATGTTGTCTTTTGTATTTATGGGCAATCAGGCGATCTTCTTGGGCTGGCCCATTAATGGCGAAAGGCATCCATGGCCTGCAGTGCCTCCCAAGTCCTCAGTCGAAGACACCTCCTACCCGGGTGAAGGCCTCCTGCTTCGCTCTATGGTCTTCACCCATAGTGATGGCTTGGCCAGATGGTGAGCTTGGTGGCGAACCATTCAGTTTTCATCGTTCGGCTTCGCCTAGGCGCTTCGCCCCAGGCGCACCCCTTGGACTTAGTTAACGCCTTATGGTTTCGGTGGTTTCGGTAGGTCAGGTCGAAGGTCCTCGTGGCATGCCTCCAGCAAGCTCCTCACTGGCAAGGGTGAGTAGGGAGCTTCGTCCGACCAACATTTTCGTCAGCTTTGATGGGTGATATCATCTTCATGTTGGTCATTTCATCTCCATGCCGACTGCGTCAGCTACCATCAATGGACAATTGTGACTACAACAGAAGGATAAGCTAAATGCTTAGGGGCTCATCAACACAAGCGCGAGGATTATATCTTCAATTTGGACTTGTTCCGGATACATTCAACATGAATTCATGGTCACGAGTCGATTTCCCGTGCTCAACGACTGGACCACTCATTATTCCCTATGAGGGCTATCTGCCGAGTATTTGAGCCAGTCAGGATTAAATTATCACATCCTCTTTAGTACATATCATGAGGGATAGCTACTTGGATCAGGAGCTATTCAGATGAGATGCAGTTGATCTATATCATTCGGGAGATTTGTTACTTGGGACCATATTAATTGGCATACTCTACACGTCTAATTTTAAGGGTATCGGTAGGCATATTTTCGTTCTAGGCCTAATATGTCTGCAGCCCATATTTTCAGGTGTGGCCTATCACGCTTTTTTAGGGACTTTGGCATCATTTTTCTTAGGCAAAAGTGCGCGTGATCAAGTGCCTAATACCTTAAAATCCTTTTGTACCTCAGTTACTCAACTTTTTAGGAGTTGGTACAATGCATTTTAAAATGTGCCGAACAATGAAGCTTTATATAGTTGCCCCACTGAATTATTATATAGTCAAGGCATTGTTTGGTTTTATAAAGCAATTGATTGGATACAATGTTGTCACGCCCGGAATTTCTATCCAAAATTCCAAACGCTTACATGTGTGTGAACCCTCGTCCAGGAATCAGCCGAGGCACACAATAACAAATTGATAATAGAGTACAATTATTACTCTAATTAATAAGCGAATAAAATGTCATTACAGAGGTAGATAGTTCCTCTCAATCAATGAAGATCTAAGCAGCGGAAAATAAGATAAACGGCGCAGACGGCTCCACTCCACAGGCAGCTTGACCAAGGCTACACCTAATCCTCCACACCATCAACTTCACTGTAGAACTCTTCCTCTGATGAATGATTGCAAGGTGAGTATATGACATACTCAGCAAGCCACGCAGCAAATATGCAAGTGCACAGGATAACAAAGAATGGCATAGTAGGGTTTCATTTGCAAAAGCAGCATTTAGCAAACATTTGAGAATTTAATAAAACTGTTAAGTAATTAAACAATATTAATCCAACGCTATACAACATACCCTGTTGCATAGGCCCAACCATTGTGAACAACCATCCCGGCTGCACAGTTCTATCTCCAAACCAGGAATATACCATTCCAAACCAGGAGCTAATCAAATTATTACCAGTTAAAGCATCATTTACTATGGTGAGAAGGGTGAGACTAATCACGAAAGACATTGTTCGACCCGCCCATAACCGCGGGCACGGCTATTCGAATAGTTTTACTCTGATCAGAGGTGTACCACTGTACCCACAAGACACAACCCCACATCATGTCACTATGTGCCTCAATACCACCACGGTTCCTCAGAAAGGAGTTGTGACAATACCTCTTGCATAACACAATCCACCGCAGCGCACCATTCCTGGATCATAATCACCCCCTTATAAACAAGGCATGGACTCCCCAGCGTCCCCCGTGGGCTTATCTCCGCCACTTCTCAGTCTGGTGCCCCGCAATGAACCATGCTATACAAAAGATAAAGTCGTTGCCCATGCTGGCTTGTGGCTGGCACGGTTAATGTTTCACAACCGAAACTCGTGAACCGGTCCTTAATTGTCATGAGCACGACCAACAAAACCATGTGCTCACAACCCACCATTATCAGGTTTTAGTTGGCACATTAATTAATTAACCAATCACGATTGACCATCGTGAACTATCATTAAGCCATCATTAAATAATAGTGAGTCATAAGTTATCCCAATAGTGAGCTAATGTTTCTAAGCAGGGCTAAGCAATTATATCTAATATCTAGTTGAACCAATATAAAGCTCAACTAGTCAAGTTATAATAACCCAAGGTATCAAGGAATAAAGCAATCAAGAACAAAAGAGCTATAACAAACAATAGGTTAATTCCACCTAATGACATTCGAAAATAAATGCAATAGTTGAATAGAAACAATAGCTTTAAATAGGATCAACATGCTCAAAGGGTTGTTTGGGATCTGTGTGACTTGCCTTGCTGGCCTTGGAACTCTTCAAATTCTTCTCCGGCGAAAACGGACTCTCCGGAAACGACGGAATCTAAACAGAAAAGAGCAAAAACACCAAAACAGCACATAAACAAGAATGAACAGTACATGTGGATATTTTTAACATGTAGATCTCAATTTTAGAAAAATTTAGAGACTTGAACCAACTAAATCGGAGCTAAGATGAATTAGTTATAAATTTTTTAAGATTAAATCGGATTAAAACACTTAAATTGATTTTAATTGAATTATGACGCAATAATGAATTATTTTTGAAAAGGAAAAGGTGGATTATTGCGTTAGCGGGCTAGGGTTTGCGGTGGACCGGGCGCACGGCGGCGGTTCACGCGAACGGACGGCCGAGATCGACTTGATCCAAAACGGACGGCCGAGATCGATCCGGTCCACGGCGGCTCACGGCAGACGGCCACGATGACGTCGGCGATGACGTCACCACCGGCGGCAGCGGCTCGGCGGCTCGGACGGCGCACACTCGCCGGCGAACGGCGGCGCTTCGGCACGAACGGAGGGCACCAACGGGTAGAGCGCGACGCGGCGAACTCACC